AGGAAATTGAAAGAGAAGCAGTTTTGTGGCAGAGACGACGCATGTGAGTCTGGGCACCGGTGAGGGGGGGGTGAGGAGGTGAGTGGAGTGTGCAAGTCGGCACCTGGCACATAGGAGAGCACAGAGGGAGTGACCACAGAACTTTAAATACAGTTAGTGAACTGTGGTTTGTTACAGTCAGAACAAATGTGTAGCATTGCATCACATAGACATATGCAGGGTTAAGGCCCAATGGAGATCTATTGATACCACGCAACTGTGTTTTCACCCCTGTTTGTTTGTAATTGTTGGTTTGCTTGATTTTGGGGTTAGGGTTAGATTGAAGAATGGAACGTGGGTCAGCACAGAACCCATTACATTTGCCAGTAATATCTTTTTAACTTAATTTAACTTTGTGTTCTGACATTTTCATCAATTTCCTAGAATATAATCCATGGATCTCAATGAAAAATATAAGGTGGACTGTTGGACCTTGACAGTGGAATGCACTTTCTTTTTTTTATTATCATGATATTTATAATTTATGATAATGAATGAATGCTTTATATAAAGAAGTTGCAGAGTATGTCTCTGGTCCTATTGGTTGCAGAGGTAAATACAGAACTACCATAGCCTATATAACATATGACATCATTACTCCTTAGATCATGGATTATTTTGCCATGCATAAGCTGCAGAGTCATTTTCTGATTTCTTTGTCACTTCTTAATTCTGTTACTTATCAAATGATGGGGAATCATTTTCTAGTTCAGCAGTTTGAGGGTTGTGTTCCCTCAGTGTGACTGAGCCTGGAGCCTGAAATTATAAACATATACATAGTTTTTCTCAAGAATAGTTTAGGTGCTGACAAAATGAAAGTGATATCATTTTAAACCTAGAAACATTTGACTCTACTTACTTTTATAATGTGATGATTCTAAAAAACTACAGCAATAAGGTTTTTGGAGACTTGTGAGAATAAATTATCGCTTCTTGTCTTTGCATGTACCTTGTATGCATGTCCTACGACCTGTTGAGAGTGTACCCCACTCACACTTTGATTATTATGGATAATAGATGGATGGAACAGGCAAGTACCAAAGGCTAACCATTGAGTCTATCGCCTAACTTTGGTATATTAATAAATCTGATAAGCCTCATGCGCTCTATTTCTTTTAGAGTACAATCTGCAGATGCAGACTTGAAGGTTCAGTGTGTAGAATTCAGTGATATCAAGAGGTGAAGTTGCATGTTGCAGCTGGATACCCCTCATTTTACCCTCCCCTTCCCAACATGAAAGAAAACCAGTAGTGAACTTCAGTTAAAAAAACTCAAAAGGTTTTAGTTTGTCCAGTTGGACGATAGTAAAAAACAGAGAGCCCCCCCTACTTGTAGATATAAAGTTTTTAAATATAAAGAGCTCATTCTATGGTAAAGAAAACAACTATTCATACAATTTAGATGAAACACACCAGTGAAAACATCACTAGGATTATTTCATATTCAATTCCTGACAAAAATCCCTTTCACCTAAATCTTACACACTGAACCTTTAGGTCTAGACTCAAGTTAGTAAAACTGTTGTTGAGCATGTGCAATACAGCTCTGGTAAGGCCAGAGGGGAAAACGGGTCAGTCACCAGCAAAACTAATTAAAGCGTGTAAGTGTATCTTTGCCACACAGTAATTCAAGTACCTTTGTTAATGTAGTGGCTGCCAGTTAGTTTGGTCAGATATGAAAGCTGCATTGACCTTTGTTAATGCCGGACTGTGAGTGCAAATCTGAGTCTCGACATGCCAGTGTAGAACCAGTACAAATCGGACTGGGCAGAAGATTTTTTTTTCAGGTATTGGTCTTAATATAACATATCAGCCATATGCACAATTATTTTAATCCATAATATGCTGTGTACTGATGACTTCAAACCCATAAACACCATCAGATCATTGGTTTATGATTAATATTTAGATTTAGATTAATATATCTATCAAGTGCTGCATCCACTCAGAGTAATATATAGACAGTCATTTGGAAATTAATTCTAAAACAGGTAAACTCCACAGTAAAGCTGGTTCAAAACACAAGCAGAAAATGAATACAAAATGTGATTTTTGTTAATGGGTTTCAGGCAGCTTAGAGTCATCACACAGCAAACTGCAGCTATATACCATATATAGCAAAAAATAAAGGCACTTATGTGCATATGTAGGATCATACTCGCTGCACAATGGAAGAGTGATATTCCTTCCAGAAAGGAACAACTCAAAGGTAAAGACACAACCACACATCTACATGTCTCCTCAGCACAGAAGAATACCTTCATTATTCATCGCAACTGAAACATTAGACCCAAATGGGCTGAGCTGAAAGAAAAAGCATTTTATTAATGCAAACAGCCATTTTGAAATACCTATAAATTGCACCTCTCTCGTATTTCTCTGTGTGTCTCACTAGTTCTCACATAAAACTATCCCCAACCACTCGCTGCTCTTATTTCAGATGATTATTTATTCAACTTGCACTGTCTCCAAGCTCTGGCACGATAATTCGGATGTTTACAATAAGACATTTGACTAATGAGAAAGTATATGTTTTTATAGCTAGTGCACACAATTCCTGGTAATTTAACCAGTATGCCTTTCTGGGATACCTAAATATAAACAGGTTTTCTTATTTTATTTATTTTTATTTCACCTAAGTTCTCAAATGTTAAATGTCTAAACCAAAGCAGCTGCACAAAGCTGTATATGTATAATTGGCACATTTTTTATTTAAACTCAGGTGTTAACTTATCAAAGAATAACTGAGTAGATCATGAATCTGCAGACTTCTGTCATACAGTTTTCAGTGCAACAGATACAATTTGGTTCACACCACGAGAGTACAAATGATCAGTGCTCTGTGAGTTGAAACTGTCATGCACCTGACTCAGACAGAATGGGGACATGCTCATAAAGATTTTGCACACATTTCAGTCGTGAAGACTTTGTCATGATTTACCCATTTGTTGCAAATGGGGACACAGTTATGATTGGCGCTGAAGGCTCCATTCTTTGGATGATCCCTGGATTAGTTGAGCAGTGTGCTAAGATAAAACAGGGAACATGTGCAGAACCCCCTGCTGGGCTCAGCAGACAATGTACCTTTGTTTAAGATGAATATCGTTTACCACAACCGTGTTTGGACTCTGTGCTAAAAGGTGGAGGCTGGGGCGGTGGAGGCAAGTTGCCTGCAGCAGGCGTGGGTGGCAGTGTAGCTGAGCAGGGATCAGTGTGGATGAGGTCGTCTTTAAAGGGGCAGCTTTTGTGAGAGAATGGGCTGTGATTGGTGGGTGGCTGACGAGCACACATGGACCTATCGGTAGCTGACAGCTGAACATGACTCCGTGTCCTGCATGAACTAACACAATGCTTCATCTGTACAAATTTCATGTGTGTTCAAAACAACTCATTCATAATAACATGTATTATCTAGCTAGTGTAGCTTCATTTCAAGTGTAACAGGCCATTCAAACATGCAGATTCAAAAGACTGGGACAGCAGCTGCTGTTAATTGTGATATGGTCTATATTTATATAGCACTTTTCTATTCTTGATAACCACTCAAAGCGCTTAACAGTACAATACAGTTTGCCATTCACACACACATTCATACAGTGCATCTATAAGCAGCACTTTTTTCTATGATCGACCATTCAGGATTCAGCATCTTTCCCAAGGACACTTCAGCATGCAGATGCGGAGACTGGGATCAAACTGCCGACCTTCTGTTTGGAAGACGACTGCTCCGGGGTCACAAATTTAGTTGTCAAGCTGTGCCAGGCACATTGAGTCCCACTTCCTCTCCTTGCTTCACTCTTTCTGTAACGCATCGACCTGTCTGTTTTGCAATGACTGTAAAAAAAGACAATTATCAAGGATACATGCGCTGCTATCTTGTAATGTCTTTTATGCAGTAGTGATGGTAGAGTGAAGCCACGATATCTGATCCCCTCAAATAAACCCCAAACACTCTGAAATCAATCTGAGCTGTCAGATCAGAATCAGGAAAACTCCTCCATTTTTCTAGCATAGCTACCTGACAGAAACCATGTTTGGAAAAATGTATTGACGTGTACCTTTCTAGTTTGCCCCAAGTCATGTCTTGAAGCCTGCCACCAGGGCGGAAATCAAGGGAGCTGACATTTCGTCAATCTTTATATTAAGGCATTGGTGAAGTCAGACGGGTTAAAGATAGCATCATTTGGTCTTTGCAAACAGAAATTAAATGAATGGAAGTGAGATCCAACCACAAGTGGTCACTGTATGTACATGTGGAGATGCATTCTGATACTAAATGTGAACTGACAAATTCAGAGTTGAACATTTGTGATTGGATTACTCGAGGCAGATGTTTATATCAGGTCTGAGCAGGTCCAAATTCCCCCAGTTAAAATATAGGTCAAAGAATGCTACGTTTTACAGCGTGCACCAGCGAGAGTCAATCACAATATTTTGGATTCTTCTGGGTGTGTTTATGCACATAGTTGTTTATAACTCCACCATGCAAATGCAAATACAAATAGAACAATCAGTGTCATCTGTAAAAATCTGAGAGACGAGGTCAGAATTATGATGTACTAAATAAAAATGTCAAAACACAGATTCACTTTGTCATAATCTTGATTTAACTTTGCCTTGGAAAATTGTTTCATTTGACTGATAAGTAATTTTAATACAGAAAGTCAAATCTGTAAAGTCCAGACTTTGACTTCTGAAAATCCAAACCTATTTATCTCTTTGGTGAACATAGACTTCTGCATCAGGAAATTTGAAACCACCTGAATTATACAACCCATGCTTATCCACCTTCCTCCCACATGAACTTCGTGAACTCTGACTGTGTGCTTTGAGCCAAATTCTTGTGGAATAGGATCTCACATTTATCCAAGTCGCTCTGAGGCAAAGCATCCCCAGATTGTTGTTGCACTTCTTCTGCCTACCTCAAACAACCCAGTGCTAAAGTCGTGCTTGTTCTCTCACCTTTTGGTCGTGGCTGTAGGCAAGAATCCAGTCCTCCTGCTCAGGATGGAAGAGCAGGCTGAGGATGTAAAAGTTGAGTCGGTACTTCTGGTAGGTTGCTCCTTCGTCAGAGCTGATCAGGAGACTGCTCTCCACATCCGGATCAGTGAGCAGCATGATCTGTAGACAGCAGGTCAAAGTTAGAGGGTTTTAAAACACTTAACAGAGCAAATCAGCTTAACAAAAAAAAAAAAAATCACAGGAAAACAGTGGCAAACAAAAGGTAAGTGTGCTGAAATATTTCAGTATCCAAATACTGAATCACTTCCACTGCAGGAGTGTGACACTATTTCACTTTGATTATGTTATCTATTATTTCTCATTTGTATGCACTTCATCCACTTCTGTGTGTGTGTGTATGTGTGTGTGTGTGTCTGTTGTCTTGAAAAGACAAAACACAGAGATAAGTCAATCAAGCCTGATTACCATATGTATAATATAAAGTGCCTTATTGCTTTGGCTGCAGATTAGCGGGTAAAAACGCTTGCAGCAAAAAATGTGTGTAGTTCTTTTTTTGGCGTAGGCACCATGGCTGTGTGTGTGTCCCATCAATTCAATTTCTGCTGTCTGCCTCTGTCTTCACTCTCGCTGCCCATGCTCAGTCAGGCCTTAAAAGCACTAATTTCCCATGAGCTTCTTTCTTTTCTTAAACGTCCAAGATTTTTTGCCAAATTCTGGCACGGTCCCCAGAAATAAAAACTACAAAGATATCCCCAGATAATATCAGATGCAAACATAATTAAATAAGTGGACTTCAAGACAGGCGCTCTCATCATGAGAAGAGTGTGTACTAGAAAAGAGTTCCTTGTGCTATGGTAACAAATTTATGGGCGTATGAATCGACTGCAGGTATTTGTGTGAGCCTGTGAGCGATAGCGGATTCAGCTGCATACATGTTAGCTTATGCATTTGTATGTCTATAAATGGCACCTGGCAGATTCCCCCCGATGTAACCCTTGTTAAAGATGCATTGTCCAATGACTTGAATTCCAACATACAGATAACCACCAACAGTGTCTGTATTTCTTGAGAAGGCAGAGGAAATTTGGCATGCCAAGAAAATTCCCCAGCAGCCTCTACAGATGCACAGTGGAGAGTGTTCTGGGTAGAGAACTTGGAACATTTAAAGGGCAATGACCAAATTCAAACAGGGTCCAATTTCAATACCTGAGGGCAAGTCTGGGTGAGAAAGCAATATAGAGTATAGAGAGAAAAAGAGAGAGAGCAAAACTGACGTGAGATCAGGGAGTGGTGGTAATTTGCAAACCTCCAATAAAGCCTAAGAGAAGAAGAGTTAGAAAAAAACAGAGTGACTTCACAGCAAGTCCCAGTAATGATGACAGTGTGGTTACATTTTTTAATGCTTGATGCAGTGTTTGTGATACGAAATCAAAAACTGGCCAAGTCAACATGTTGTAGACCTGAGGATACGCCCATTCAATCATTCAATATGTTGAAACACTGATGACTGTTTGATAGCCGGAGTTTATTCCCCTGCAGGAGCAGCAGCTAACACCAGTACTGGAGAAGATTAACCCTCAGTGGACTATGAAACATTAACTGAGCCTTCATTAAGTTTCTTTTGGAGATTTGCAATTTTTCCGCGTCTGGTTGATATTAACATAGTTAGTCAGGCATCTGTCAACATTCAGCCACTGGTTGCATCCAAAATTCCTAAGCAACATGTGTTTTAGTGTTTGTCCTTAACCTTAGTATCAAAGATGTAAGTGGTACACCTACAGAGGGAGTGATGTAATGGTAAAAAAGGTGCTGTTGGGTATGAATTCCAGATATCAGTAGCAGTATTAGTTCAAATCTCAACTGTATCCAAACCCTAGTCCTAACAAGCTGCATCAGAGTCTGACTTGGCAGCTGCACAGTACAGCGCCGCAGGGCTCTACAGCAGGTGGTAAGAGCAGCACAAAACACCACCGGAAGGGCCTCACCAACACTGAGCCTCTACCAGACCAGACCAATCAGGAGGGGCAACAACATTATTAAAGACTGTATCTGCCCACAGCATGACCTCTTCACACTTGCTACATGAGCACAGCAGAAAATACAAGAAGAGGGACAGTCTTTAATCACAGGCCATCAGACAATCCCTAGAAAATATAACAATAGAAAGACAGTAAGATAGTCGCAACAATAAAGTCTCAACAATAAAGTAATGAATATGTATCTCATAATTCTCTTGGTTTACAGAGAAGCATATTAAACATAAAACATCAAGTTTAAAACACAAAACTTCACAAAAAATTCAACTCAAGCTGGTGTGTGATTTCTGTTAAATACAACAGCACCAGCAAATAATCATAATAATAATAATCTCACAGCCTCACATCCATGTCATTACAGCCAGTGAAGGTGTCTGACCCTGAAACAAGAAGCAGTTTCGCTAAATCTAGCACACGATAGCATTAATATGTTAAAATAGCATAGAACTGTGCAGTTGTCAGTATCGTGCCACAGATTACACAGATAGAGGAGGTGATCACAGCCATACAATTGCTCTTCTAGCCTATAAGCCCTTCACTGGAAATATGTTCATAATTACAGTTCACATTGTTAATTTTTATTTTACTTACTCAATGTTATCATTATCTTTCTCTCTACAATAATTCTGAAACACTGATCCCTCATACTGTTATTGAGGTCTTGATGTTTATCTTTTATATTTCCTTTCAACGTTTCATTCTTCAGCAAAAGAGATGATATTTTTCACAAATCAGGTATAACATCAGATTCTGTTGCATGCTGCACTGAATTTCCTCTGAGATACATTTGTGATTTATATCAGGTACACTTACTTAAAGGTCCAGTGTGTAAGATTCAGGTGAAAGGGAACTTTAATGCCTCTATAAGGAGGCCATCATGTTTTTTTACATTAGTCCAGACTGGACAAACTAAACACCTTTAGAGTTTTTATGACAACTGAAGCTACCACAGTTTCTTTTTCATGTTTGGAAGGAGAGGGTGAGGTGAGGGGTGTTCAGCTGCAACATGCAACTTCAACACTAGATATCACTGAATTCTACACACTGTACCTTTAAAAAGTGTCCTTTTAGTATTTATCGAGAACTTAACAAAAAAATTATTTAATTATTTATTTATGTGTTTTTTATACATCTTGTAACTAGGCTTATTTGCAGTAATCCATCCATCTCTCCATCCATTGGTCATGTAGTCCGAGACGTCCCTCTCTCCAGGAAGGCTTTTCAGCTACTCCGGGGGGGATCCTGGCCAGGCATTCCCTGGCCAGATCGAAACCCTAATTACTCCAATGACTATGGAGTCTACCACGGGGTCTCCCCCTTGCTGGGGTTGCTCAGAAAACCTCCAATGTAAAGCAACCAGGGGGCGTCCTAATCAGATGTCTGAACCAACTCAACCTGCTCCTTTCAACATGAGGGCAGTGGCTCTGCTCCGAACTCCCTGTGGAAGTCCAAACTCCTCTCTATATCTCTGAGGCTAAACCCAGCCACTCTTTGGAGTAAGTTGGTTTCACACAATCTCCGTCTTTCTGGTCACTACCTAAAGCTCATGGCCACATATTCATTGCAATAAAGTAATTTTGAAAAATGTATGATTTTAAGAAACTATTTCCTATGTGCTAGTTTTATGTTGTAATGGTGTGTCACTTGGTAAATTACAGGCCACTAAGCTGTGCCTGAGTCCAGTTTTTTTGTGAAGCCTCTGTTGCCAACAGGTCGATAAAAGTTCCTATGCAAATGCAGAGGCAGTACTGTCCATGCGACACACAGTGACTTACATTTGGTTCAGAGATGCCCTTTGGCATGACAATCTCTGTGTGCGCATTATGTCAGCAGACAGCAGAGTGAAAGAGAATACACACTGCTCTCAGTCAATATCCTTATCAGTATGCCACCGTATTGCAAAGTGTTTCTAGTCCCTCATGTTAGTGAGTCATTTGTCAGCACTCACTTGGGTAACTGCAGGCGTGGTGGGCAGACCCACTAACACCAGTTCATCAATCACTGAAGGCAGGTATAATGCCACATACGTGAGCCACATGCTGACCAATCCAATCAAAAGCACTCAAACGCTGTCTGAACTACAAATCCAAATTAACGTTTTGTTCATTCCCTGACACTTCAGCACAGCTGGAATACGAGACAACTTTATAATTGCCTGACGTCTTTCTTGTGAATGGGGAATTAAATTGTATCATTCTGCAAGCTTACACAAAAGTGAACAACTCACAAAGTGTGCACACTTGTACACGTATACACATTAGAATATGGAAATCAATACACCCTGTTGATATGTGTAAATCCTATATGGAGATTGAGGATTATGGAGATTGTATGAAAAATCTTTCTTTACCCTTTTGTTATCAACAAATATGAGGAAAGGTCAGAAGACATCTGCCAAAACACAAAAGATTTAGCAATTTAGCAATGATAATCCTGGATCCTCACCTGATCAAGATCTGCTGAGGTAATGACTGTATAAAGTAATGATAGACAACCTGACAGCAGCCAATAGTCAAGAGACAACATCTCAATCACCCCTGGGCTGCAGTATGGAATATGAGATCCATCTCCTCCATGCAGACTGAACATGGACCATAATAAAAAAGAAAAGGTAAACGTCAAACAAAGATGATTTCTGTCATATTAGGTGGTTATTACAGATGCATGTTGGAGTGTTTGTATTTCTGGTATATTTGGTTTTCATTAGTTATCTGATGCTATAAAAACTGAGACATCATAATTGATTGCCTAGATTAACTTGCGGGCATACCACCTCTCCATTGCCGGATTACTACTGTGCAGACTTGATGTACAGTAAATGACGTCCAGCACAAGAAACTATTTCATATTGAATATGTTGGTTTCATTTTGACAACCAGTTCAAACAGTTCTACTACTGTGTGTTTGTTAGCGGTAAATGGTTTGCATTTATATAGTGTATTATATATATATTATCTAGTCTTGATGACCACTCAAAGCGCTTTACACTACAGTTTTCCATTTACAAACACATTCTTACAGTCATCTATTAGCAGCACTTTTTTGTTTGGCAATTCAGGGTTCAGCATCTTGCCAAAGGACACTTCGGCATGCAGATGGGGAACGCTGGGATTGAGCTGCTGA